AGATGTAAAATTGAAGAGTTTTTTAACCTTTAAAAAAGATCTCCATTTCATTTTAGAATATATTGTTCCTTACAGAAAGGCTCATTGTTTTTGTTAATAACACTGAGATGTTGGTGCATGCATCTCTAATCTGTATGTATCTGATTATTACTAGCCATATATTTTAATTATATATAAAATATCATTTTGGTCCTACTTTTTTTTTGTCTTTCTCCATGAGAAGTGTGTTTCCAAGTAATAGTTTATTTCTTTTGTGGATCTGGAAGGGCCGTCCGTTTACCTTGGAGTGCTCTGAATGATGCATAGTGAAATGGCAGGACCAGGGAGATGGTAGTTGCATTGAAGTATGAAAAATATTTTAAAAAATGATCTACACCACTTAAATGTTTCAGAACAAGAGAGCTGGTGAGAACTGAGTATTAAGATTTTGCTGCCAAGACACTTACTGATCTGACCTAACACTGCTGTTCCCTCCTCTGTGTGTTCTTGTAGTCTCCTCTGAAGAGTTCAGGGCTGTTTCTGAACATGACTTAGCTGCAGCCTCTAAAGCAGAATGACTCGTACTTTAAGTAGTGAATGAGCATGGATTAGGCCAAAGAGCTCATGTCTGGCAGTAGAAAGCCCAAATTCTGTATTTCTAAAGTAGTTTGGAAATGATTAATTGAAACGCAAGTTTTGGGTACTGTAGGTCAAACTAGGACTTTGCACATTCTAGACAGCACTCTATCACTGCACTAAGCTATAGTCCCAATTCCTTAGTTTTTTGAGATGGAGTCTGGCTATGTAATAGCTCAGACTGCCCTCAAACTTGGGATCTTCTTGCTCTGCTTCCTGAGTTGATATTAGAGGCGTGTGCCACTGCACACAGACTTTTCCCCTTTTTGTGTGTGTATAGCATGGTTTCTACAAATAAAATTCTGTAGCTTTAATCGTAGTAGAAGTGTGTTTTTTCTTTTTACTGTTGAATATATTTTACTATCACTTATTTGACATATTTGGAACCAGAGGTATTTTACAGTTTGGATTTCTCAATATTTGAACATGTATAATGTGAGAGCTTGAGAATGGGACCCAAATTTAAACATGAAATTCTTGTTTCATACCTTATACAAAGGACTTGAAGGTAATTTTATGCAGTATTTGTAGTGTACCAAAATTTTTACATGAGATTATACTTGGAACTTTTGACTTGTGGAATTATGTTAGAGCCTAAAAATTGCTTTGGACTTCATGCTTTTAGTTCTGGATTAGGAATATCTAGCCTATAGTTAGTATATATAGGAAATATGTATCACCAGAGTTCATTGCTTTTGGTGAGACTTGGTTGTCAAGATGCCATACCTGTCTATAACTAGACATTCTTGGTTTTCTGTAATTTAACTGTTAGGGCTAGAATACGATCTTAGAGCAGCCTGTGTAGCTGGTGTGCATGCCAGTTCTGACAGTTCTGCTTGACTCTATTGCTTACAGTCTTGAACTACGTTTAATGTTGATATTCATAAGAATCCTCTATTGCTCTGCTTCTCTTGTGCTTTGTCATGTAAATTTTCCAGATGGCTATCTACTTTGATATTCTCATAAGGCTATGTTTTCTGTTAGATACATGGTCTACATGTTGTTGAAAGCTCCATCTCTGCTAAAGATAAATCTCTACGTATACATGTTTAAGACAGAAATGTAGTTTTTGTTTTAAATCAACATAGAAAAAAAATATGTGTATGGTCCTGAAAAGAGAAAGTAGAAATGATTATCCAGAGGGATCTGAATACACGTAGAAGGAGGCAGCGTTTGGGTGGTTTATCTTGGTGTGTTAAAACATAGATTAAAAGCTCTTAAGCCCCAGCATCCTAGGCAATTTGTTTTCTGTAACAGAAGAGCCATTGGTGGGTTGGAGACTCAATAGTAATGTAAAGGTGTTTGGTCCCTAGGAGTAATTTCTAAAGGAATGATGTGGGATTGAATAACTCATGGAATTCAGAGGAATGGACTATTCCAAGAGAAATAAGGGATAGTTAATCCAGTCTGGGATTATGTTTGGAGTTATTACTTTAACCTATTCGAAGGCTTTTTAGTGATCTGGTTATGATGATAAGCTGCCCCATATTTGGTTATAAGTTTAGAATGGTCAGAATAGAATGCTCACATTGTTGCTTTGTTCTGTAAACATACAGAAATTATTTCTTTTAGTTAGATGAATTGAGAAAGTGAAAGTATTCCAAATTTTGCTTTTGTTACCAAGTGATCCTCTGAAATAATGATACAGTATTTTAAAATGGTGAATAATATATGCAGTAAAATTTAAGTTCAGAAGTATACAGATTAACGCAGGTGTTTGTTCATTGAATTCTTTAATGCTGCCTCCAAATTTGAAATCATCAGTAAGGTTTACTTTGAAACACAAGAGAGAATATAATCTTGATGCCAAAATTTGATTTTTATGGCACAGTTGGCTTTAACTGAGCTTCAAGTGGCAGTATAAGTAGAGGTCCGTATCTGATTGGATGTATTAATTGACATTAAAATTACGTTTATAAAGGAATCGTAGCTTCCATTCTTGATTTTAGGTTTGTGAGGACATTGGGTGCTTCCCTATCTCATGCTGAAGCATCTCATTTTCCCAAATAAGAACTGTCTGCTTACCAGTGTGCCAGATCTAAGGGCAAGACATTTAAAAATGGCAAATATCTAGCTTTTGTGTTATTCTGATAACTGGATGCAAAGTACCATTACTTTGTTTCAGATTCATGTGAAGATGTAAATTATTCTATGTGCTATCACCTTTAAAACAGTTAGAAATCTTTTTTTCCCATCCTATATGTGCATTTGTAGACCTGGGTCTGTGTGATGGTGCTGAGATGGTTCCCAACCTCCTTGATGTGCTAGAGTTTCTTCCTTTATATTGTTTCTTTTCATACCTGTGGTTTTCATTGAAAGTAATAAAAACCCTATACATCACTTTAAGAGAAGATTAAGACAGATATCTTGGGAGGTTTACAATATAGTTTCTGCCTGCTCTTAATGATTTTGTAGGCGTGAATAATACTGAAGAATTGACTTACGATGAAAGTTCAAAGAATAGATTAGGGAAACAATTAATTTCTTCTGAGAGTATGTCACATTTTAGAAGATTCTCTGTTCCCAACACCAGCTACATAATGGAATTCTGCCATTTTGTAGTTCTCATGTGTTAATATACATATGGAGGTTTGTTGCAACTTTGTTCATCAGGCAAATATCCCTCCTAGAGTAAAACACAAGTCAGAATTGCCAAGTTTTCAAATTGTTTTACCTATAACAGTAAGTTTTATGACTTTGACTTTAATTTGCCTTATCTATATGAAGAATTTGTGTGCTGTGAATTATCAGTTGGAATTTATGTGACCAATAGATTATTATATGCTAATAGTTGAAAATAAGAGTATTTTTCTGCTTTTTAGTTTTACATATGATAATGAATCACTTAGAAAATTGCTTTGTTTATATAAGGTAGGGTTTTTTAAAACCATAAAACATTTTTAAAGAAAGATAAAATTTGAAATATAAATTTTGAATATCATTTCTTCTACATCCCAATGCAGGCTATATGTTGAATTTTGTTTGAATTTTGTAATGTGCTACAATATTTAGTAAAAGGTGTGAGCATTTTTACAATAAAAATATTCTTAAATTTAAAATTCCTTCTGATTATAAAAATTTGAACTTACACTTTATTCTTTGCCTACAATTTGTGTCCTCTCCTGGATTTCAATAGAGAGGTAAATAAAAAGGGAGCTAGTCAAAAGAAAAAAACTGAAAGAAGACCAATATAGGTGGGTTATGACTATCTAATATTTAAGTGAGACTATTTAGATTTATTTTCTGATTTAATTTTGTTTTAGATGCCATTCTAAATATGGTGAATATTGCTGCTAATATTCTGGGAGCAAAAACTGAAGACTTGACAGAAGGTACCTAACCATTTTATGGGTCTTTAAAATAGCTGGTACTCCATGGATCCTTTAAGTTATGAAAAGTAAGGAATAAGCTAAGAACATTTGAGTTTTCCTTTCAAAATAAAGAAATAATTTTAAAAAACTCAACAAGCTTATGTTAGTCATTGTTTATTTGAATTTCACAAGATCTTATTTTATGGAAGGACCTCATCTTCATAAAGTTTGATTCCCCCCCACACACCCGTAGTGTTTATTAAACCCAGGACATCACATCTGCTACACAAGTACTCTTTTACTGAGCTTTACACCCAGCCCTTTTTACAAATTTTATTTTAAGTCAGGGTCTGATTAAGTTGCCAGATTGGCCTTGAATTTGGGATCCGCCTGCCTTAGTCTTCCTACTAACTGGCTTATAGCAAGTGTTCCCCACTGTGCCTGACTGCATTAATTTTTTTATTCTTTCCAGCTATAATAGTAATTATTCTCTCATCTGTTTACTGAGACTTTTAAGTCCTAGTAGTACTTTATATTTGTCTTCCTTACATAGCCACTCAATATTAAAAAAAGATTTTTCTTTAGAGAATGGCAAATAGTATTAACAAAGAGAAACAATTGTACCATTTTTATTTTTAAAAACCACTAAGCTCCAAGTATAAACTTAAAAATAACTCACTTATTTCCTCATTATTTCCTAACTTTCTGGCATAGAAGGCATATTAATCATGGAAGATTATGCAAAATTCTTAAGTATATTAATCATCTATGAGTATACAAAATTCACAATTAGAAATAATACATATTTTGTATAGTTGTGATCTTGTATGATCATGTCTAAGAGAACTTAGATTTTAAAGAAACCTGCAATGGCAAACCTATTTGACCCTTTTCTTCTCTCTTGAGGAGCCAAAGTTCATTTGTTATAGTACAGTATTTCATGGTACAGCTTTTAAAAATTGCACTCAACACAGGCATCTTTCTTACACTAGGAAATAGAAGTATATCCGAGAATGCCACTGCCACAACTGCACCTAGCATGCCTGAGTCAGTTCCTGGTTCAGCTCCTGTTCCAGCACCTGAGTAAGTGATACCGTGATATGAAATAGATTTCTATTCAAATGGAGAGCTAAGTCTGTTAGTATAGGAAACAACAGAACGTGTCATGATTAGAGTCTAAATAGTAATGACATTTTGCAGCCACTTACACTTTTCAGTAGCTTCTTACTAGTGTTTGTAGTGTTAATTTTTTTTAATAACCACATGATTTGAAGAAGCATTTCATTACAGCTTTAACACATTCAGTAACACATTCCAGAGCAAGAATACATCTCTTTTAAAAGTGGCTGTAAATTTTTAGGTTCACAGTTGAATTAATACAGTTATACAATATTGAACTTAATATAAACTCTGTAAAACATAAAATTGAATGAGTTTTTACCCTTTAAAAAAGATCTCCATTTCATTTTAAAGTATGTTATTTCCTGCATTTTTAATGCTACTAACACTTAGATGTTTGCACATGTGTTTTTAATCTCTGTATCTGATTATTACTAGTCATAGTTGGTTGCTTTCTGATCCTTAGTACCTGAGTATGGATATAAAGTCATCAGGTAGATTTCACTGGTAATGTTTATCATCTCTACTAATTAACATGAAGTACATTTTTATGCATCCTCCTCATTGTTTTTAAGTTGTTGATTTTTTTTGTGTGTGTATATCATGCAGAACATCCCACGTAGTGTATTTTAAAAATGTGCATCATTCCATACTGAACATTTGTTGTTTTGGTATTATGTATTACTTTCATTATTCACAACACTGAGTCTTAAGAAAAAAATATTTCCTTACTCAGGTATAGGCTTGGGCAAATTTTGAAGGCCTGTTTTTATTAAGTTCAAGTTTAAATTATGTGTGTCGTTTCTCTAGAAAGCCTCAAAGGCTATCCAGAATACTTAGAGCAGTGGTTCTTGAATGTGTTTGTCAAACAGCAAACTTAAGATATTCCCTTTCTTAAACTGATTTTTAATGGGTTTTTGTAGTAGGATACTTTGAGCAGCAATGCATATATAGATAACAGTGTTTTTGGTGGTAATTCCAACCAGAGACATTTAGATTTTTGGTGCTTCTTGTCTATTCTAGACAGTAAGCTCATAAAGATTTGGTTAAAGGTTATGGTCATTGTGTAAAATCTTAAAACCTTTTTTTTCTCTGGGAAACTCTACTTAGAATATTTGAATTTGAACTATTTCAAGATGGTAGGAAATGAGAATTAGAGTGGGTATGCTTTGAACTGTAATTCCTAAGTACCATACTATTTCAAAAATCAGGTTTATGTGCTTTGAAGAGCACAGTGAGATACTTATATTCTTCTGTATTAATCCTGAAAGTGATGGAAGATATTTCTGAAAATATAGACTATATGTTACTGATTCTCAAAAGGACCTAAGAGGACGGGCGTGGTGCCACACGCCTTTAATGCCAGCACTCGGGAGGCAGAGGCAGGTGGATCTCTGTGAGTTCAAGGCCAGCCTCGTCTACATAGTTCCAGGACAGCTGGGGCTACAGGGAGACCCTGTCTCAAAAAGACCAAAAAAAAAAAAAGGACTTAAGAAATATCAAAATATTCTTAGTGTTTCTAAGGGAACTATATGGAGTTGTAATTGCTATTCTTGATTTTATAACGAAGCAACTAGGCTTCTTCAATTAATATGTGGTGCCTCCCCCCATTTTTTTTTTTTTTTTGCTTTTTACAAACTAAGGCCAACTTTAGTTCTATACATTATGCATATATATACATACATGCATACATATAAATTTTTTTGAAAGATAGAATAACAGCTGCCTCATGTAGCAGTTTTTACATCTTCATGTTAGCTTTTTAATATCATTTTTTATTGGGAGGAAATGGGTGGTGTTGAGACAAGATCAAGCTTGTGATCCTCCTGCCTCTGCCTCCCAAGTACTAAATTTACAGGTATATGTCATCACATTGGATTTTAATAAACATTCTTGTATAATTTTTACTTAAGATTTCTTCATTTGTTTATTTTGAAATTTTTAAATGGTTATGTAGCAATCCTTTGAAAATAATGAATAATAATACATATTTAATATGTAACAATGAATAAACAAAAATGAAGGAATCCATATGTTATGTAACTACTAAAAGTTATTATAGAAAGCTGACTTGTTTTCTGTTCCTGAGTTTAAGTAATTTTATTTTTTAAAGTATAACTGATTAGAGTGTATTATAATGGTAATATGACTTAGTATTTACCAGATTTAGTTTAATTTTCTCTTTCCCCTTCAGACAGTGCTCCTTTTATTGTCACAGTTTATTTTGTAAATAATAAGATAAAAGCTACTTGAATATGTAAGAAATGTAATTAAATGCTATGGCTATAGATAATTTTCTATTTAGAGAAGCCTAACCTAATTATCTTATCTTGAGATCTTTAATATTTTGCTGTCAACAGGACAAAAATCTCCCTCTTAGATACCATCTTTTCCTTCTCTGCTTTACCACTGTGACAATAGCATCCATTTAGTAACATTTCTTAGTATGAATTGCAATAATTGCTTTTTGGTATATTCATATTACCTAAGTATTCTTATTTTTCATCTGTGCTATAAGATTGTATCCAGAAATTATCTTTATCTTGGAAGGAACCATAGGCATTGTAATTTATAATCCTGTTTCCACCCCCATCTGAGTCCAACCCACAACCATGCTCTAGACCAGTGACAAGATAGAATTGATGATGCTCTTGGTTTATAAGCCAGGACTTTTTATTACAGTAGTCAAATATTTTTCTTCTAATAAGAAAATTAACCCAGATGATAGTAAGATTATATTTCCCTAATGCAAATAATCTCTTATGTGTTGGAATTCCTCAAATGACCTATAGAAACATTAAGAAATGTAGCTGATTTTTGATGATATTAAGAATCCTAAATTCTTGGTCTAGCCCTTGAGTGGCATAATGTCTAATCTGTAAAGAGTGGTAAAGCTTATAAGGAGTTATTAAATGTTTCTGGGAAGGAAGGTACATTACATTGAAAGAATACAAGTAATCACAAGGAGTCAAACAAACATTAAAAGAAAGGAAGCTTGATGTGATAAGTATGGTGGATTGAGTTATCTGGATGGCCACTTGGTTAGATAGACTTCGTGTTGTCATTTTCTGAGTCTTGTTTTTTTTTTTTTTTTTTTTTTTTTGGTCTTTTTGAGACAGGATCTCCCTGTAGCCCCAGCTGTCCTGGAACTCACTATGTAGACCAGGCTGGCCTTGAACTCACAGAGATCCGCCTGCCTCTGCCTCCCAAGTGCTGGGATTAAAGGCATGTGCCACCATGCCTGATGAGTCTTTTTTTTTATAATAGAAAAATATTTTATGGGGGGAAAATTAATTCAGCATGATATTTGAGTTCCTTTTTGTATTTATATTCCTTCTGTTACCCCAGTCTTCCTTTATGTTATGCCCAATACATTTATTTTCTTAAAACATGTTTTAACTTTAGATTTCTAGTTGAAATGATTTGTAATTTTAAGATATATATATTTCTAGGTATGTAATCACCGAAGTTCATGTACATGATACAGAACCATCAATATCAGATGTTCCAAAAGAAAGTCCAATTGTACAACTGGTTCAGGAGGAAGAAGAGGAGGCAAGTCCATCCACAGTGACCCTTTTGGGCAGTGGTGAACAAGAGGATGAATCATTAACCTGGTTTGAGTCCGAGACACAAATACTTTGTAGTGAACTGACTGCAATTTGTTGTATTTCTAGTTTTTCGGAGTACATATACAGATGGTGTTCAATGAAAATTGCTCTTTATCGACAGCGCAGCAGAGCTGCTATGAGTAAAGGAAAAGATTATCTTGTGTCAGCTCAACCGTCCTTAATGCTGCCTATAGAGTCCATTGATGTTTCAGTATTGCCACCTCCCGGTGAAGATGTGGACAGCAAGAATTTGGAAAGAGAAGCTGAAACTGTTGTTCTTGATGACTTAAATAGTATGCACCAAGGTGATTTGATGAATGACACTGTGGATGTGATTGAACTTGAACCAAGCCATCCTCATACTCTTTCTCAGTCTCTTCACTTAGATATTACTCCAGAAATCAGTTCGTTGTCTAAAGTAGAAGGGTCTGAATCTGTTAAATATGAGGGAGGACATACACCATCTCAAGTGATTCTCCAAAAGAGTTCTGTTGAGGTTGATGATGAAACAGAAAAAAAGCCTGAGAGCTTTACTTCTGTAGAGAAGCCCTCTATTATTTATGAAACGAGTAAAGTTAATGAGATAATAGACAATACTATAAAAGAAGACATGTCCTCCACAGAAATTGTCACAAAGCTATCTGAAACAATGGTACCACCTATAAACACAGCCACTATGCCAGATGCTGAAGATGGTGAAACCAAAATGAACATAGCTGACACACCAAAGCAAATATTGGTTCCGGTTGTGGATCTGTCATTGCCTGAAGTAAAGGAAGATGAACAGTCTCCAGAAGATGCCCTTTTAAGAGGGTTACAGAGGACAGCTACAGATTTCTATGCTGAACTGCAAAATTCTACAGATCTGGGATATGCTAACGGAAATCTTGTGCATGGGTCAAATCAAAAGGAATCAGTATTTATGAGACTTAATAATCGTATTAAAGCCTTGGAAGTTAACATGTCTCTCAGTGGTCGCTATCTGGAGGAACTTAGCCAAAGGTAAGCTTTTTTACATTAGCACAACCCATTTCATGTAAGTTTAGTAGCTGAGTATGATCTGTGATATTAATTATAATGTATAATAAGCATAATTTTAGCTAGACAAAGCAACTTGGATGCTGTTCAAAGTCTCATAGAATTGTCTTTCTCTTTTTTGATTTTAGAAATACTACTCAGCGGCATGCCTTTCTGATTGGGCTAATAATAAGTTTGACATTTGTCTGTAACTCATTTTTATAATTTTTCTTTTTTCTATGACTTAAATTTTTAAAAAAAAAATTTTGTTTATGAGTGTTCTACCTCAAATGTCTGTAAGTGCACCACATGCATACAATACCCACAGAGGTCAGACAAGAGCATCGGATTCTGTGGAACTAGAGTTACAGATGATTATTAGCTGCAGTGTGGGTGCTGGAAACCTAACCCCAGTCCTCTGCAAGAGCAGCCAGTGCTCTTAACCTCTGAGCCCTCTCTCTAGCCCCTTATTTTTGTTTTCTTACTGTTGCCCAGACTAGCCTTGGGCTTAAGTAATTCTCCTTCCTCAGCCTCTTTAAGTAGCTGGGACCATAACTGTTGGCTAGCATGCCCAGCCTCACTTTCTCCCTCTGTTGCTTAATAGCAATTTTTACTGGTTCCTCAAGGGAACCTGGGGAATAGTATATATAGAGACCTTAAGACTTGTACTGGATCTTGACTAGGTATCACTTAAGAGCTTAGATATGTAAAGACAAGTGTGAACTAGAGTGGATGATTAGGCAACATTTTGTGATCAGCACACTTTTTATAGGCCATAGAATCTCAATTCTAATTGTCATAATTTATGTCCTTGCCTTCCTAAGTACAGTATTCTTACAGAGTCACTGACTCTAGGCACAGTCTTACATTTTTTAAACATACCCTATTTTTTTATTCCACAAGTGTTAAATATCTGTCCTAGAACCTCTTCTCCCAACATTTTGTAATCACCTGGGCACCAAATGTCCAGAGTTCTTAAAATTTCACATTCTCTTACCCACTCTTTAAGTTGAAATGCTAGTAATAAGATGTCAGTATGGTATAAGAAAAGCAGTTTCTTCCTAGTTTATACACATAAAATTTTTGGGTAAATTATATATATGTACACTTGCAACTGCCCTTACTTTTTCATACCTTAGCTTACCACAAAGGAATCACAGAAATCATTAAAGTTTACATAACAATGAGAAGAAGAGACCTGTTCTTTAGGGACTCTCTTCTGCCTTTTGTATGTGTTACTGTATTGTACAGTCCTGAATAGGTTGTTTAAAGATTATGTCAGATCTCAAAATCAGAATTGGTTCCAGTACTACATGAAGGAGAAATTAATGTAAATTTAAAGTAATTCTTACTGTTTAGGTACCGAAAACAAATGGAAGAAATGCAGAAGGCTTTCAATAAAACAATAGTGAAACTTCAGAATACTTCAAGAATAGCGGAAGAGCAGGTTGGTTTCTTTTTTATCACATACTTATTTGTATGTGAGTATGTTGTGGTAATTAATTCTTGTGTATGATGTGTCATAATCACTTAGGGTAATAAACATTTCTCTCACTTCAGCCAGTCTTAGCATTTTGAAATATACCATAGATTGTTTTAACCAGTAGTTTTCCACCAAACTAGAAGTAATTCTTCCAGGCTGTTTTGGTGCCCTTCATCAAACGTCTTTCATCTGCTCTCTTTGCTTTCCTGCTCTGTCCATTCCATTATTGCACAGACTGACTTAATAGTTTCCAGAAATGAGTGAGAATTTATAGTATGTGCCTTTCTGTATCGAATTTATTTCCAGTTTGATCCATGTTGCTGTAAGCATCAAGATTTCATTCTTTTTTTTTAAATGGCTAAATGGTGTCTCTGTGTATTAAATCCGTTCATTCACTGAAAGGTATCTGAGTTGATGACATAGTTTAACTATTATGAATAATGCTGGAATAAACACAATAATAAAATATCTTTTAGTATAATGATTTTATCTCTTTTCACTACATACCAGCAATGGACATTCTCATTCTCTCTCTCTCTCTCTCTCTCTCTCTCTCTCTCTCTAATTTTTTTTTGAGTAATTTTGGTGCTGTTTTCCATCATGGCTCTACTGATGTATCTTTTACTCTTTATATAAATATCTGTTGACATTAGTGGGATCTAAGTAGTAAAAGTGTTAGTAATGTGTTTTCACATTTTTATCTGTTAGCTGATGTCATGTTTTGGTATCATTTCTTCTGAAAAAAATTCTTGAACATTGACCATTACATTTTGTGCATACAGTAAACTTTTCTGCAACTAGGTGAACTGACACAATACTGTGAGGTTTCTGCACATTGACTACAGATAAAAACTACTTTATTTCTTCTCTGTAATCTTTACATCTTACTTTATTTTATTTTTCTTATCTGGCTAGAGCTAGATATGATAACCAGAAGACTGGTAATATGATCACTCCTCAATCTGTCTTGTTAATTTTAAGGGAAACATTTCAGTGTTATACCTTTAAGTACGATGTGTGTGCTATCACAATCGCAGAATTTTAATGCAAACTTTAATCCAGTGCTTTCTCCTTTATTTTTTCTTTGCTTTCTATGTAGTATTGCCATGTTGTCAAACACTTGTATAAGCACTTTTCCTGGCCTTGTGGTCTTATTAGCATCCATATTGATCAGGAGTATGACTAGTTTAGGCTTGTCTTTGTGTGCTTTTGACTATCTCAAGTTGATCGTATGTGGTGTCGTATGTGGATCAGGATTCAAAGAAGTGACTTATGGAATCCCCTTAGCATTTTAAATATAGGATGCAGTAAAATAAAAAGTACCATAATAGATCACGACAAAAGGAAGCAAACCCTTTTGGTAGCTGCATGCTTCCCTCTTCCCTCGCATACACAGCTGAGACTTAAAATCTTTTGGAATCTAAATTTGAAACACCTAGATCTAGAATAATAAATGGTTATGTAGATATTTTATATCAGGTTTGAAGTTAAGAGTTTTAGATTTCTGTGACTTCTTCCTGCCTTCTTCCCTCCTTCCTAAATTTATTAATAGGTTGAAGTTTTCAGTACCATCTACCTAATACAGGTTTATAATTACAAGTATGATGTATAATTCTCTAAAATATGCATGAAATTATAATTTAATAAAGACATGTTGGTTATAAAAGGGTCTGGAGAGCTGACTAAGAGCATGGCTGTTGTTGCAGAAGACTCAGTTTCAGTTTCCAGCACCCACATGGTGACTAACAACCATCCATAATTCCAGTTGCAAGGGCTCTAACGCCGTTCTCTGACTTCTGTGGGCATTGCACAACATGGATGTAGTTACATACATGCAGGCATTACACTCATACATATAAAATAAATATAATGAAATTTTTTAAGTTAGTAAAATTCACAACTATCTACAAATACAAAGATGGGCAATTTTGATGACCTTCTTTTCATTGGTAGAAGTATATAGCACCAAATTAGATGATCAGTTGTATTTATGTGACATTCTGAGTTCCATTGTATTTTACTGTGAAAGGGAAGATTTTTAAAAAATTCCCTTAATATCAAGTCTACTTTATAGAAACTTCAGAAAAATTTCAGCATGACTTCTACCACTGCTTTGCTTTAAAAACACATTTTATCAAAGTGATAGGTGACAGTCTAATTGATACCTATGGCAACCCTAGTAATTTGAAAAGTAATTCATTAGCTTCTGTTGCCGCAATATTCTACATTGTAGCAGTGAGTGGCAAAAGTTTTCTTTTTGAGGAGGATCTACCAGAATTTTTTTTGGTTGTTTTTTGTTAATGGTGGAGGTAGTTTCTTTGTTTTTAAGACTCTTGGAAGTGTGTTTTATATTTTTATATATTACATATATATAATGTATATTTTTTCATATTTAAAGGTGTTCATCTTTATTTCTAATAAGAAAAATGAAACCTAAAATAAGAATGACCTATCATTTCACACGTAGTCCGTTTAAGTTTGGTCAATTCCATATGCTGACAAGAACTTGTAGAAACAATGTTTCATGGACTGAGGAAATGGATCAGCAGTTAAAATGCTTACCACACAAGCAAGACAACCAGAGTTCAGATCCCCAGAACCCATGTAAATGTTCTGTGGGCATTGTTTGCCTTTAATCCCAGCCTTAGGCGGTAGAGGCAGGGGATTCCTGGCACAAGCTGTCTGGTGAGACTAGCCATTTCAATGAACTCTGAATTTGACTGAGAGATCCTGCTTTAAAGAACATGGTGGAAGGCCGATCAAGGAAGATTCTTGACATCAACTTTGGGCCTGCATACACATATGCACACATCGCATGCATGTGCGCGCGCACACACACACAAGCATCTACACATATGATTATATGCACGTACAGCACAGAAGCATACACATGAAAAAGAAAAATGGCATTTCATGACCATGGCACAGTTACTTTGGACAACAGCTTTGGCACCATCTGGGAAACCTGAAGGTGACTGGTCATTTTACTTCTAGTGGGCATTCTGTAGTCTCATTAACTCAACAGAATTGAACAAGTACATTCTGTTTATCGGTTCATTGTTTCTGAAAGAAAAGACATTAACCATAGCTTAAAGAAATTATGGTGTAGTGAATGGCATTCTAAAATTACTGAACAAGATTTACCTAAATACATTACAACAGTATATTTGGACTTAAAATGATACACTGCAAATTAATAATACTTAAAATATCATTCCATAAATAGGGAGTTTTAAAACTAAAACATGATCAGATAGTATTTATCTTTGATCTATATGTACAAACACAACTGAAAAAGAAAATGGAAAAGTTACATATAAACTATAAAGTTACACATAAACTAGTACAATGCATAATATATAAACTTGTTTTTAAGCCAAGGTGGCACCTATAGGGAAGCTACTTATAGTTTTCTATTTTTCTGTATGTTTAAAAGATTTTGATGTGTAGCCGGGTGTGGCACATGCCTTTAATCCCAGCACTCAGGAGGCAGAGGCAGACAGATCTCTGTGACTCTTGGAAGTGTTTTACATATTTTTTAAGTCTAGTCAAAGTATATATTTATTCATTAAAGTCTTTGAATTAATATACTTTTGGAAGACCTAGTTTTTCCAAATCAATGTCACTTAAATTTATAATGTCATTAATGTATAGCTGAAGTGCAAAGAAAAATAATAATCTTTTATCATAGGATCAGCGGCAAACTGAAGCCATCCAGTTGCTACAGGCACAACTGACCAACATGACACAGCTTGTTTCAAACCTATCAGCAACTGTAGCAGAATTAAAACAGGAGGTAATTATTAAACTGCCTGTACTGTAAGATACCAGTACACTATGGAGGCTGTCAGAATGGGGATGCTTATAGACATGAACATGATGGCAGTTCAGAACTTGAACTAAACAAAACTGTCACTTAATAGAACATTTTGAAAACACTAATGTGGTATTTTGGGGTTTGAGAGATACATTATGATAGCCTTTTGTAAAATGTGCTTTCATAATTTAGGTCTTACTCAAAATAAGGTTAATTCTGCAAGCCTTTTGCAAAAATTGATAGTAGTAATACTTCTTTTTCAATTTAGAATTCTTATAAAGGAGCTTAACATAGTAAAAGTGTCAGGGGATAACAAGCATATAATTCAACAACCAGTACATATATGAGACATGAACTGTCTAGTTCTAGGTTGTTATATCCAACATCCCTGGCCCCACGGGGTTTTAGTCTCAGGAAGGTTAGAATATATCTATTAAATGTATAAACAGATGATAATTTGTTCTCTTTAGTAAGTACAGTGGAGAAAATAAGATGCAAGTGTGTCAAGCAATAGTAGTAAGGATGCTGTTTCAGCTTGGATCAACTTGGAAGTCTTATCTGAGGAAAAAATATTAGAACTAGAAAGTACTTAGCAACCATATAGTGCCTGGTAGGAGAACAAACCTGCTACTAGCAGAACTAGGTTGAAAGATCCAAGATCACAGTATTATAGTTATGTGTTTGAAGGCAGAAAGAAAGTTGGTATAGCTGGAGCTGAACGAATGAGAGAAGTGAGTTTAAAAAGTGGCACATCAACAATGCAACCCCTGTACCTAAAGCTCACAGAACATAGAACAAGGGGTAAAGAGGACAACAATGAATATCTCATTACTCACTAAACAAAACTCCCTTGTGCAACAGAGGAACAGGAACACAAAAGGTCACAAATGGCCAAGATATAGAGACTAAGAGTCTAAAGAATGCTGGTCCTTGGACAGGACTCCTGTATTAATCTATACCCACCCAGGGCTCAAGGACCATTGTGGAAGAGGTGGCAGAAAGATTGTAAGAGCCAGGGAGAAGGTGCATGACCATATGGAAATAGAGTCCTACAAGCTTCTGGGACCCTACTCATGAACCTATAGCAATGGTGTCAGCATGCACAGGACCCATGCAAACTCAAACAGACAAAAACCTAGCTACTGTGAAATAGAGAGCTGACCCCAATCTTAGCTGAAGAAATATTGGCAGCTGATTACTACTGGATGAGGAAGAGGTGATCTTCCTAAAGTGAGAGAATCTAGATAGGCTGACTATACCTTGTACTGAGGGACGTCTGGGAACAGTAACTTGACATGGTATGCCTTAAGACAAATGACAGAATGTATGGATTCCAGTGGGGGGGCTATGGGAGCATGCCAGTGGGGAAGGGGTTATAAAGATTAAGATTGATTGAGATGTTTTATATGAAATATACAAAAATTTAATTAAAATAAAGAAAAAACATGGATTTAGGGGACTGGAGAATGACTAGGTTAAGAGCACTGACTGCTCTTGCAGAGAACCCCGGTTTGATTCCCAGCACCCACATGGCAGCTAGCAACTGTCCACGACTCCCGGGGATTCAATGCCTCCTGCTGACCTCCATGGACATTTTACAACACAGGAGAATGATTAGGTTAAGAGCACTGACTGCTCTTGCAGAGAACCCCGGTTTGATTCCCAGCACCCACATGGCAGCTAGCAACTGTCCACGACTCCCGGGGATTCAATGCCTCCTGCTGACCTCCATGGACATTTTACAACACAGGTGCACCTACATACAAGCAGGCAATATACTCAGACACATAAAATAAAAATAAATGTTTTTAAAAAGAAATAGATTTAGGATGTTGGGCAGAGGCCAGCCTTGATCAAATAGTAGAACTGTGTTAGCAATTTAGTTTGAATTTTATTTTGGGCATTGTAAAATCATTGGAAAGTATTAAGAAATGATGTGGATCATCTCAGTAGTGTCTAACATGTTGAGAAATTCCCCCATTTGTTACCCTGTTGAGAATTATCTGTTTGAGAACAGGAACGGATGCCTATTAGGCATCTTCTGTAACTTGGGTAAGGTTGATTTGGACTAGGATTTCAGAAGTAGAAAAAATAGTATGAAATTAAGTGGATTAAGGATATATTTAAGAAGTAGAAAAAGAAGTCTCAATGAAATATTGGTTATGTGAGGAGAAGGAATTAACAATGAGTCCGGGTTTGTTTGGGGTTTAAATAACTGAGTGAATAGTGAGTCAGTTTTATATGTTGGGAAGGACTACATGAGAACACATTTTTAAATCCCTGAGTATTAAAAATAGTGCAACTGGAAAGACAAACTAAATGTCACAAAAAGTTAAGTGGTGAGCACAGGTGAAAGGTATAGTTTAATATGCTGCTTTTACAACTTTTCCATAGCTTTGCATTTTTTTCCAAGAAAGAATTTGATGAGGAGAAAGCAGCAAAAGAATAATTCTCTTAATAGTTCATTTTCAAAGACATAATCCTGTATTTAATGGTTTTGAAGCACATGACAGACTATTAAATGATTTGTTGTTTGAATTTTAAGTTCCACACTATTTTGTCTAAAATGACCTATAATTCTTACTGTCTTGTCTTCTCAGGTTTCAGATCGACAGAGTTACCTTGTCATCTCTTTAGTTTTGTGTGTTGTCTTGGGACTGATGCTCTGCATGCAACGTTGTCGGAACACTTCTCAGTTTGATGAAGATTATATTCCTAAACTTCCTAAAAGTAATCAATATCCGAGCCCTAAAAGGTAAGGCCAGCATTACTATATTTAACAATTTTGGGGTTTCTCCCCACCACTGTTTTTTATTTATTTGAGAAATATTGAGCAGACATGGGACACTGCAGTAATTTTCCTCTTGAAGAAAACCACAATGGGCTGATGCCTGGATATGGCCCTGTTGACTATTAGAAACCAACAATAAGTACATAAAACCTTCAAAGTATTTTGGTTGAGAAATACACGTGGAATGTAGAGGTGGAAGAGAATAAACATTTTAATATAGGACTTCTGGACAAGAAAGTTTGTTTTACTCACATCGCTGATTGGTGTGTAAATTTAGACTTAGTACTATGTGTTATGCACAGTTTTGAGTGCCCTCCATTTAAACTAGGCTATACAATAAGCTAGATGTCATGTACTCATTGTTCCCAATGCTTTCTTAATGTGTCAGGTGTTTTTCTTCCTATGATGACATGAATTTGAAAAGAAGAACATCATTCCCACTCATCAGATCCAAGTCTCTACAGTTTACTGGCAAAGAAGGTAGATTTTTGTGGCTTTGTTATGTATGAAACTGGCTTACTTCTGTCATAATATGTATAATGAACATGCTATGTTCATGACCATCTGAAACAAATAAAATGAATGCAAGTTACCTTTGCCTTTGTGCTAAATCAAAGCTATGTTATCTTTCCACACTTTAAAACTGATATTTTGAAAGCCCAAAGGGTGGGGAGGGGGACTTAGTTTATTTAATTAGCAATGGGTAGTTTTGTTTGCACATGCTCCTGTTTAGAAGTATTTCTTTTTAGAAAGGGATGTTTGAGAAAGTTCAGCAGATATGGAAAACGTGAATGTGCTCAATGTGCTCCCATAGCATCCTGTGCTTTTCTGCCTCCTCTTCCTGTACAGGTAGGACCCTTTTTGTCTCTAGTTTAGGTCTTGTGAGGCACTTTCTAAACAAAAGTCTGATCTTTCCTAGGCCAGAGCTTATAGTTGACTTCATTTGATAAATGCTTCACTTAAATGAATACATGTATACTGAGCAACTATTTCCTATTTTAATACTTCTATAATTAGTGCTTGTTAAGAAACTTAAATTTTTATCCTCATGGCAGTATTAAAGTAACTAATTACATGTTTTTAAGAGTGCTTTCTAGATCACTGGCTATTCTCCTTTTTGTTTAGGATTTTAATAATTGAGAAGTATACTTCCATTGATTATATTATTCAGATAATCTGAGTTTCATTAGTGTAAGCTTGCCAGACTTACCCATTCCATATGTATCTAAGGGCTAGGAAATCTCTTCATCCTCCTGTTCATGCCTTCCTTTCCTCCCTCCCTCCTTCCCTGGTTCTCTCCCTTTTATAATTTTTTTTAAATAGACTTTTTAGTTGACATGAAAGAAAGTGAATTTTTCACAAACCCATTAGACCTATATGACCTACATTCTGATTAAAAAGCAGAACATAGTCCAGTCCCTCACAAAGTTCTTTGTGTTGTTTTCATGTAACCCTTCCCATCCAGGGAGAAGCTAGGATTTTAACTTCTAACTTGTGAGATTCACCGTGGTGTTGAGTATAGATTTTTGCTTATTCTAATTCTAGTACAGTATCCCATTGCAGAAATGTTACATGCTCATTTGTTTACCTTTGGACTGTTTTCATTTTGAGGCTATTGCATGCCTTTTAGTCAGTATGTGCATGCATTTGCCAACAGTAATGGAAGTGTTAGGTCATAGCACATGTGCATGTTTAGCTTTAGTAAATACTGCCACACGGTTTTCTAGTTTGTATGAGTACCCTCCCATCAGCTATGGAGGGGTTCCTCCCATCTTTTTCACTTGTTCCACGTCCTAGTAAACATTTAGTAATTAGGGTATTGAAGTCATTCTGATTAGAGTATATGTATTCCTTATTTTGAGCTATATTCATGACGTTCGGAAATATGTTAAAGTAGTTTTCCTTTTTATTATTTCTAATCTTAAGTAAAATAATAACTGCTTTATTTCCTTATAGCTCGTAAGGCAAAATAGAGTAGACATTTTACCCAGTGGCAGAATTACATTTTTAAAAATGATGATGTCATCTTGACTTAGCTCTTTTTAAAGAAAGTTGAGTAGGTAGGGAACTGACTTTAGTCCTGATTCTGTTCTTCATTTCTTTGATTTTATTTGAATTAGATTTCCTCTTAGGGCAGTTATTGTAGTCTGCTTTGAATTGGCTCATCCTATACTTATTTTCACTTCTTAGCTTCATGAGAAAGAACTATGTCTAGTTATTTTTAATTGTAAACAAAAGAATGTCACA